AGACAGACAGACAGACAGACAGACAGACAGACAGACAGACAGACAGACAGACAGAGAGAGAGAGAGAGTTAGAGAGAGAGAGAAGGGGATGAGTATAGATATCGAATGGTAATCGGTCACATTCTGCAGCAAATGTGGGACGGAAACAGGGTAATATTGTGCTGACGAAAGTGGGACGAAAAATGGGACAAAGGGTAAAGAAACAAAGCCCAATATTTGGAGAAAAAAATGATGGCAGTTTCGTCATAATAATATGGGATATATGATATTGATTGCAAGTGCTCAAGACATATTTTGTGGAGATCCAAAAGTAAAAAAAGTCGATAAAAAAACTACAACAAAACAAAACAATGGCTGCTGGATGTCTTAGACAAAACACACTCTATTAGGTCCTGTTGTTTCTATGTATTTATTCATTTAATTATTCATTTCTTTCTTTTTTTCTGTCTGTCTGACTTTCTTTCTTTCTGTCTTGTTTAGTGAGGAAGGGGAGACAGAGAAGCGGGTAAGTGTGTAGTCTTGTGCTAGAAAATAAAAAACCCAAAATGAAACAAAGAAAAAAATGAACAAGAAAAAAACAAAGAAACATAAATCAACAGAACATGCAGAAAACAAACAAACAAAACCAAACAAACAACCAACCAACCAAACAAACAAACAAATGAAACAAATCAACAGAACACACGAAAAAACTCCACCGACAACAAATAATGAACAACAAACAAACAACAGAATACACAGACTACAAACATATTGTCGGATTTCACTTCCCAATAATTATTGTACAAGTCTTATACAAGGTACCCGTTGGGGGATCGGGTCGGGTCCGTCTGGGTCGGTTTGTTAGCCATATTGAGGGCGCAAAGCGGCTATCGTGGTACAATCCGATCGCGCCCGACTCGTTGCCTCAAAAAACGAACGCGTTTTGTTTTCAGGCGACGAGTCGTGCAATCATTCCGACCCGACCCGACCCCATCCGCAATGAGCACCCGGTATTGTGTAAACAAAGGCGTTTAAACCTATTCACTTTCCAGTTTACTTCACAATAATTCTTTTAAAAGTCGTATACCCCGGGGCTGTGCTACTGGCTGAAGTGTCTTTAAGCCATTCCCAAAGAGGGGATATTAACGTGTTCTTATGCACAGTAGAATTTCAAATGGGCTGATTCATCAATGCCAAGGGGAACGGGGAACTGTTGCTTTTTCTTTCCTCATCCTTACTATCGTCATTTTCCTCTGCTTCTTTTGTATGTTTGTCTCTCTCGTGTGAACTGCTATTTCTGGGGTGCCTTGATAGTCGAAGGAGCCTTTATGCTGTTGAGGCTAGAGAGGTGAGCAGAGTAAGCCTGATTCCCTGTTTGGACTTTTCTGTTGACATCCACCCCTTGGCGCTCATATGACCTTATGCAGTTGCGAGCGTCGTAAAAACTCTACAAAAAATACATCTAAAACATTCTTAGCGTAAACGAGGGCGTTCAACCAATGCACGTTTTACGTCACAATAGTTTTGGAAAAAGTCGTAGTGTTAATGGGGGCGTTGGATATATTCACTTTCCAGCTTACTTCACAATAGTTACTTTCTTTACTTGTGAGGTGTGCTGACAAAATGAGTTACTTCTCGGATTTTAGCCTTATGGAAGTTGATACATCAACTTTATAGGTGGAATTTGTACAATTTGTAAGTCCGTAATAATAAAAGACACGCTAGACTCGAACAAAATAGGATCAACTGAAATTGTATAAATTTGACTCTAGTGTTGATTTTCGGCCAATATCTCAATTCTTTGAGTGCAAGAAATAACTCATTTTGTCAGCACGCCTTACATTTTATCCGTCCTCTTGTACCTCTAGGGCTTACTTTACTTTACTTTCTCCGTCCTCTTGTACCTCTAGGGCGTCCAGGGGAGAAAGAGCTTCCTGTCTCTAGCAAGTTTGATGTCCTGGCTGGGTGGGATATTGTATGTTCTCAGGTTATCCTTGTTACCTGGATCCAGATCTTTCTTGGTCTTCCTCTTGCCTTGTACCCTGATACTTTCCTGTAGTAGGCTTTACTGGCAAGCTGGTGAGTTGCCATACGCGTGAGATGTCCAAACCACCTGATTGTTTGCCTTCGGATGTAGTGGAGGACAGGTATTGTTCCCATCATTTCTCTGATCTTGTTGTTTCTGACCATGTCCCGCCTGGTTTTGTTGACGGCTCCCCTTAGACATCTCATCTCGCAGGTGGTTATACTTCACAACAATTCTGGTAAAAGTCTTCGTGTAAATGAGTGCGTTTTAACCTATCTACGCCCCAATTTACTTCACAATAATATACTTGTAAAAATCTTAGTATAAATGAGGATGTTGAACTCACCCACGTCCCAGCTTACTTCACAAACTGTTTGTTTTTCTCCCCCAGGACAAAAACTTCGGGGTCAAGGTCAACAAACAGGTGCCGACCCACCAGAACCCGGCGGCCTCCGGGCTGAGCACCACCATGACCATCTACCGCGGCTACGCGCTCACGCCCGCCTACAACGGGACTTCCTTTTTCTGGGCGACCACGCCCAAAGTGGGGGACACCATCGATATCGTCTACAGTCCCCCGATATCCATATCCAGGTAAGTGGCACCAATAGTAATATAAACCATCGATATCGTCTATAGTCATCCGATATCCATATCCAGGTAAGTCAAAGATCGTACATAATGTAAGTGGCACCAACATAGTTATACCCCCGATATCTATATCTAGGTAAGTCAAAGATTATATATAATCTACAAACTTTGGGTAAGTGACACTAACATAGTTATATAAACCATTGATATTGTCTACATCCCTCCGATATCTATATCTATGTGAGTCAAAGATCGTACACAATGTAAGTGGAACCAACATAGTTACATAAACCATTGGTATCGTCTATAGTCCCCGTGGTTTTATGCACCCCGCATAATTTAGCAAAATTTGATCATTGTTTTCATAATTTCTGATTATTTTCCTTTACCATTCTTTGGTAAAACTAACAGAATCGCATAATTTCAAAATTTTGGGCTCAGTTTGCATAATTTCAGAATTTTTCTTACATACAATGACGGGGACAAATAGTCCTTCAATATCCATATCTTAGTAAGTCAAAGATCGTACATAATGTAAGTGGCACAAACATAGTTATATAAACCATTGATATCAGCTAGAGTCCCCCGATATGCATATCTAGGGAAGTGATACGAGCACGGATAAATGAGATATTTTGTACTTTTAATCAAAGTTTTTCAGAAAAAAATCACGTGGGAATGTGTTTTTAGGTGGATGTAAAAGTAGTTAAGCCAAAAAATTTGAATTAGTTAAAAATTCCCAACTATCGGAAAATAGTGATAATCATAATATAGTGATTAAAACGAACTCCCAGAAATCTCAGAGCCTATTAACACCATATTATGAATCTTTGTCGTCGATCAAAACCAATGTGTGTCTGTTTTGAAATCGCTAATCGCTGTCTGACACCAAAGCGTTGTTGTTTGATTAATGTACAGTATTCGCCTCAGAGAGATAATAAATATTATTATTTGCCTCAGAAATAAAATTATTATTCGTCTGAGAAAGATAATGGATTCGCCCTAGAGCAATGACCTATGAGTATAGGAGTTCACCGCTGGATCACATTGAATTTACGTTAATTGTAATAATATTCTCCGGGGTGGGTTTTGGGGGGGGGGGGGTTGGGTCACGACGCCAGAGGGCAAAGGAGAACATTAAACTCACAAACATAGCACATCAGAGCATGAATTAGTTTATGATTAATTTCCTCGACCGAGAGGTCAATCTTGACAAGGTTTTGTATGTATGTAGATAAATGTGAGATGTGTTTTCATAAGCGACTATTGTAATATAATCAGGGTTATGAAAATGGGGAAAAAACGTTTTTGCGCAGTCTCGGCTAGGTTTTTGGATAAACGTGTCGTATTGAGAGATGGGATTTGGGGTGTGGTTTTTATTCTAATGAGTGGCAGGTGTTTAATCTATTTATGTGTGTGTGTGTGTGTGTGTGTGTGTGTGTGTGTGTGTGTGTGTGTGTGTGTGTGTGTATGTGTTTCTTTTTTCTCTCCCTCTACCTTAGCCCCTCTCTGTCTCTCTTGCTCCTCCTTCCCCTCTCTCTCTATATCAAGCTTTAACATGACGAAATCTATACATTTCAAGCTTTAACATCACGAAACCTATACATTTCAAGCCTTAACATCCCGAAATCTATACACTTCAAGCCTTAACATCACGAAATCTGTACTTTTCAAGCGTAGACATGACCAATCGTGAAGATGAAGTCTCAATAAAAACCCTTCTCTAATAACAGCAGATCTTCGATGCTGTCAGGGAACTGTAAGATCAAAAGAAATAACAAACAGTAGCACCCACAATTACTGACACAATGAATACAATAGTGTTATTTCAGGAACCGAGCCTAGCAGTATCGCAATAAAGCTCCAAAGACTAATACGTCCTGTTGTTTTGCTCAGCTCTCGGGGAAAAGGTATACCACTCCGTGATCGTGTCCGGGCATTTGATGCTGGTGGGCTTTATCTGTTTGGATTCATTAATGATTAATGTGGAAACTTCCCCTGAGAGCTTCAATCAGTTGTCGATGTCAGCCGTGTTTGGCTGAGCGATACCTCAGTTTACATAAGTGTGGAGTCAAAGAACGTGACAGAGGAGTATAGGGTTTGAGTCTGAGGGGTTTTTTGGTGTTTTTTGGGGTAAGTGTTTTACGGCGCTCGCAACTGCACAAGGTTATATGAGCGCGCGGGACACATTAAACTTTTTCAGTTGGTAGGAAATTTTAGATTTTGCCTGGGTGGCGGCCGAAGCCTACTCTTATCGATTTTAGACCACCAAGGGATCTTTAACGTGCGCAACTTGCACAGGAGCCCTCCGAGATTTTTGGCCCTTGTCCGAGAGGGCGAGGTGTAGATATTTCCTACCAGAAGATCAGGAGTGTGGCTGAAAGACAGCAGTAAGAAGGAGCCAAGGAGTAGCAGTAGAAAGGCTGCAGAAAGAGCCAGGAGCCCAGAGGAGGGGCCAAAGGATCCGAGGTGAAGGGGGTGGGGGCAGAAAGTGGGGACAAAAATAGACGACAGAACATTGCTAGAGAGCCGGAAAGGAAGAGAAAGGAGACAGTTTTAGAGAAGAAAATTTTTCGGTCGCTACCCGGATTCAAACCCGGGACCTTTGAATGAGAGGCCAACACCTTAACCACTAGGCCACGAGAGCCCCCTGAGTCTGAGGGAAGAAAAGCTCTTGGACACGATGTTCCTCTTGGACACGATGCTCCTCAGTAAAGTGCTGGGAAAACACAAGACAAACAGACAGAAACTATACAGAAAAAAAAACACCAAAAAAAACTTTACCCCCCAAAAAACCAACAGCACACATACACACACCCGCACACACACACGCTCACACACACACACACACACGCACGCACAAACACACACACACACACACACACACACGCACACACACACACAAACAC